AATTATCTATTCTGGGGGCACTCTCCCTTCACTCATCATTACAATAGTAGCAGAAAACTAATTTATTACTTTTAAGTGTTCTTGCTCTTGAAATGAACTTCTTTGATCTACAGTATATGTATAAAGATGTTTCTTAGGGGTGTGTGTGTATGTGTGTGTGCTTACCCATGAGCAACTGCTATAAATCTTTGCTTTTATATGAGGCATACACTAGAGGTACAGCTTTTCACACTGTTTGAAAGGCATGTAGAATTGAAGTATCAGTGACACTTTTTATAGTACAGCTATTTGCCTTTAAATAGTACCAATTTAAATGTGCATTATTATGTTAGGTAGGCTTAAGTTTCTAAAGTCATTATTTGAAACACGCTATGAGTGTTGCTAGATTGTTATTTGCACAGTTATTTTAATAGCTTGGCCCACCCTTATCTCTGAATTTCAAATGCTCTTTTCTAGTTTTGTCATTTTGTAACCCACACAGAGCACAGTGAAAGGTTAATGGAGAAAAAGCTGATTTAGTGGAGTCATTGATCTCTTTGACTTGGTGAGGAAAATATTTTTAAATGAATCAAAATGTATAAATCACTATTATAAAGCAAGGGTCATCTTAGAGCCCCATTGCCCTTCATGGAACTGTCCCATATTGATTTGAACTTTATGACCTTCTCCAACCCCTTAAGGAGATTTCTTTACGTTTTTAGGGACTGTATGTTCTTGTACCTTTTTACTTTTAAACTGTGTTACCTGCAAGCCCTGTCTTGGCTTTGCCATCCATCAGGTAGATGTGAAGTGCAAGCTTTGCCTTGTCCCGGCAAGGTCATGAGACTGATTAACTTTATGGGGAAGAGTCACCTCCCAGAGTAAAGGCCCTCCTATCATAGGGCTCACACTACTCCTGAAGCTTCCTCTTCCTCCTGTCCTTCTTCCTCCTTTGAAGGAATAACAAGCAATTCTTATAAAGGTTTCAGATGACCTAGAGTCCCAAAATTTCACTTCCTAGGAAGTGTTCTGGTAAACAAGTTTTTCAATACTCCAATACAAGAAAAATTTAGGAAGCTTTTGCTTGTTTTTCTTCTGAAGTAGTCTTAATGTTGAGAACAGGTGAGGGTTATTTTTCTGTTGGACAGCCAACTGGCCAATTCTTTTATTCTATATAGGCAAGGCTTTCCTAGGGAATGAGGTAGGGTGGTAAGTGGGATTCTTCTTCCATCAATAGGCACACATATCATGAATAAGAGTGAATGCAGGTGCCTATGAAGAGCAGATAGACTAGCATGGGGAACATCAGATATGCCAACATTAAGAGAGTTATGGAAAACTGTAGCATATAGAGTAAAAGCAATCACATTCTTATTTCTTTTGAATTGAGAAAACAGTATTATAAAACTTTAGAATTCTTTTAATTGTTTTAATTTTAGTATATTTCTGTGGGTACAAAATCACCTATAGTCTTATCAGCAAGTAGATGTTCTCCATGTGGATTATATTTTCATGTAAAGATAATTTTTGAATTTATTTTTCACTGAACATGGAAATATTTTGTTCCAAATCTTAGGTTCTATGCTTTATGGAGATTTTATCATTGAATTCTTCCATCACACCACCTCACAGATGTAGGTGCTATTTCCATCTCATTTTAACAATGAGAAAATCCAAGAAAGAGATGTTACTAACTTGTGTAAGACCACACAGCCAGAAAGTGTAAAGCAAGGATTCACACTCTTGAGAAACCAAGGAAGGCAGTATCAGGGTCTTCGCCAAAATCCTAAGTGTCAGGCTTATTTAAGTAACATTGAATTGTGTTTTCAGTATCAAATGTTCCTGTAATGGTTAATAGAGTGGGTTCTATGTGAAATGTTATCCCTAATAAACATTTCCTTCAATTATTCTTTAATATTTAGAATACATAATAGATTTGTAAATACCTTGCACATATTACTTATTGATTTGAGAAAATATTTTCATAATACATGCTTTTGTCCCATTGATCATTGTCATGCCTCTTATCCCTCATGCATAAAGTTGGAATGAGAGAAAATATGGAATTCAGGAGCAAGGGAATTACTTTATAAGTCACCTAGATTAAGTTTAAGAAATTCTTCAGTTTTATTATCACTTTGTATCCATTTTGCTAGGAAATTTCCACTGTGTCATTGGGGTTTGTTCTATGCTATCCAAAGTTCAGTATTTGCAGTGTTCTCTAAACATGTGGACTCCAAATTCAATTCTAAGAAGGAACATTATGAAAAAAAAATGAACAATTAAAAAGGAAAAATAAATGACATTTTCCTTTCAGTGTGAATATCTATTTGATTCTAAAGATTCAAAAATGTAAATTAATTGTTAAATGTTTTACATTAAATTGTTTAGACAATACTTTTTCAGGAGAATCACACTTGCATTTATTATGTTGGCCACTGTTAACATATATAATTAGTTGGCACAGTTTATATGAATTCTGATGACTGCATAGCCTTCATCTCTGCTACCTCTAACAATTGATATGCAACCTTTCATAGGCATAGAGGCAAGCTTGTCAGTCACTAGTGTTGTCAAGAAGCATAAATAATCATTATGCGACATTTTGACACAAAGGTTTATTTAGTGATGTTTGTATCCTGACATTGACAGAATATGTGAGGACATTTCTTCATCAGCAATTCCAGCCTCATGGAATGCAAAAAAGACCATGCATTTCACTGGCAGCTGCAACTGGGATTTGACCTCCCTCTTCCTTCTTCTCATTGTTTCATACCCATTCTTTGCTTTTACTAAAAAATTTTGCAAAAAGGACTTTCTTTCTACAGAGATACAAAGAGAATTCATCATTTGGTTATTTCACACCATGATTTTGTTCCTTTTTTTTTTTTTTTGATCTTTCAGCTTGCTGCAAAACACAAATGATACAGAAATGTAAATATTGAACAGCAGGTAATCTTCTTTATGTTATGTGTGCAATACAATGCTAACACCCACTATTACTAATGGATATCCTTTCTGATTTTTAAAATTGTGGCAGTCACTGGAGTGGCTTAGATAATAGACTCTCCAACTGGTAAACACACATGAGAGAAGGAAATAGATTAAGAAATTGTTCAGTTTTACTATCACTTCAATCCAACATGCTTTTGGAGCCACACATTACCTATGAGACCGTAATAACTAGAATGATATTCCTCATAAGTAAATTGTATACAACTTTTATTTTAAGATCAGGTTTTACACATAATTCCTACTTATTCAACCTGAAATTTGACTTGCTTATGCACCCATTTGGTAAGTTGGAAGAGAGACTGCATAACAAGGAAGTGGAGAGTTTCAATGTATTCCCACCCAAATCCTAAAATAGTCCTGAGGGTCTTTTCCATGACTTCCTGGAGAAGCATGAAGATGACCTGTGGATTGCTGGGTAGTCATGAAAGGGAGCAAACTTGTACTGTCATTTTGTGAGGTGAACTTGAAACAGTTATCTCTTCCCCAAGTGAAAGCTAAATGAAAATTACTGTGAGTTTTTCTTGATAAAAATCTGGAAGTAATTTTACAGATGAATGTGTAAAAATGACTTCTTAGTTTCTAGTAATTGCTTCTATTTTTATAATTCTACTTAGTTCCTCCATCTCCAAATAATTATATTATATAAAGCAAATGACCAACATAGCTGATCCCTGTCTGGCTGTGTCTTAGTAACCATCTAGTGATGTGCTCTTCCACTAGCTTATCAGTAGTCATTGTGGAGATAACATAAATTTTTGTGTTCACTCCCTCACTCCTCCCTTTCTCTGTTCTTCCCTGATTTCTCCATTTCACTTCCTATTTCTTTAATTCAGGAAAGTATGATGCATTGTAGTAAAAAAGGATTATAAAGACACAAATTTTATATATATGAACGTGGAAAATGGAAACCTTATTAGTGAAAAAGTTTAAACTACTTATAGGTTTTACAACTCATTGACCCCAAGTACCCCCATTCATGTTCATTATTTATGACTGTAGATGGTAGAAATGGTTCAAATCGTAGTCAGTGTGAAGCGTGTCCTGCTTTGCTTGGTTGCTGTTTCAATGAGGAAAGATCTTCTCATCACCCAAAACTCACATCCACATGTGTTGGACTCAGGTAATGTGTGAGAGAGCCTGGAACTAGAGTTTACTAATTCAAACTACCTCTCTTTGGTACCAAAGGATAAGGGTTAGGAGGAGTGGGAACACAGATTGATGGTACCTCTGCCTGTGACATTTCCTGGGAAGCTCCTCCACTGAAAGAAGTGCAGTTCCCATGGATCAGGGTTTCTCAGTCCTGCTGTGCTGTCAGAATCTACACAGGAGCTTTTGAAAAACATTGATGCCAGAGCCTTACCCCCAGAGAGTCTGATATAACTGATGTGGAGTGGAGTACAAAGGTGTTTCTAATGTACAGCTAGCTAGAAACCATCAACATAGCAATTCAGTTTCAGGACATTCTGTTCATGATTTTCCCTTCTTTTTAAACCTGGGTTACTTACCATGAAATGCTTGACTTCCTGTTCCTCATCCCTTTGTCACCCAGGGTCTTTCCTACTTTACTAACTTCTTTATTCCCTCCCCTGCCCCACTGTTCCACAGTTCCATTACTCCCTCTCTCCTTCTCTGTAAAATCTTCGATATTGCAGTCACAGTATTGGAGATGATAAAGGAACTTAAATGGGTCTATTCTTACCTTCTTCCTGGCTATAATCAAAGCTAAGACCAACATGATTACGGACCATGACACTTCCCACACCACCTCCTGCTAACAGGATCCATGTGAACGATTGTACAAGGAGAAAACAGAAGATACGTGTGTACATCCATAATCAGTTTGTTAGATTTTAGAAGCATTTCTGGGTATTTGTGAAGGACTTCTATAACAACACTGATAAATTCTATTTCTCTGTTGTCTCACAGCCATGGAGGTATAGCAATATTTCCCTTCAAGAAGAATGTATCCTTCAGTGTAGTTAGCTGATCTTCTCTAACTGCAGAACTTTTTTTTTTATATCTGTTGCAGTATACATGCTCTTCCAAAGGCAGCCCTCAGTGAGCGGTAGCTCAGGAAGCCATTAGGACTAGACCATCTCTGCCTAAAGTTGGTGACTTCTGCTCTGAAGCTCCCCACTGAGTTTGAGTCTCTTACATGGGAATACTAGTCCATTCTTTTTTTCTGCAACTTCATACTTGAGGCTAACATAATAAAGAAAAGAGGTTTGTTTAACTCATAGGTCTGGAGGTTCAAGGGCCTGCGTCTTGTGATAGTGGTCTTGCTGAACAGAGTTCTGAAAAGGCCCAGGACATCACATGACAAAGAGAGACCACAAGACAAGGATCACACCTGTACTTACATCCTCTGGTCCTCTGGTCTCTGTGCCTTTTTAGGAGCCCCTAGTGTTCAATGAAGTCCCCAACCTAATAATCTTTTCTAATCCCATCACTTCCCAAAGTAAATGCCATAATCAAGTTAAGTTTCCACCCTCTGAATACAATAGCTATTAAATTTCAACACACATGAACCCTTTGGAAAGACCCTCAAACTACATCCAAACCATAGCACAAGTGTGACAGCTGTATCCCAGTTGAAGCATCTCTCGGCCTCATCCTTTTCCTTCCCTTTCACTAGTCCTAGGCTTTGCCTTCCAAGAAATCTCTCGCCCCAGCTTCTTCTTAATATCTTCTTTCCAGACAAGCTGCACTCACACAATCTTTCTTAATTACCTAAGATAGTTTTTTAAAAATATAAAAGTTGCATTACTATTTTCTAAATATTAGATACGGATACAAATTATTTTTATATTTTATTCTTAATTGTGTAGAAATCTTCTCTTTTTAGAAATCTTGTTATCAAAAATGTATTGTCCCAGTTCTGAAATAAAGTAGTTTGAACAGAGGTAGTTGTGTGCTGAACAAAATGTAAGCGATTCCAATTTGATAGGTTTGGAAAACTCCCACAAGCTAGAGCAGTGTTCCCTAAAGGGACTCATTCTTCCGATTGCTAATAAAACAGTCCTCTTCCTGTAAGTATTCACCACAGTGTATTAAATATTATTGCTAATACATGTTGTTGGCATGATGTCTTCTTCTTTTCTGACCTGTACAACTACTGACACAGTGGCCAGTATATCTATGCATTGTCTATTGTATTAAGTAAGCAACATTCTTGTACATGTTTTGACATCTGGGTCTTCACTGGGGTTATCAAAGGACAATTAATTCCTCAGGAGTACAACTGCATGACTTGGGTAAGCACTGGATACTTTTTGTTGTTGTTGTTCTTAATGCCCTGCCAACAAACCTCTAGGTCTGATTAAACAATTATTTTCTCTTAAAGGATGTTGAGTTCCAGGAGACTCTTAAAAAAGTCCTCATTCTTTCAAATACCAGAGTACTCTAAGGTACAGGTTTGCAGTAAAGAGAGAGTTTAAGTTGGGAAAACCTTGCTAACTAAATGGCCTCCAAGTGACAGTGGCTTATTGCCTTTCTCTGAATCCTCAGGCAGAGGCCAGAGTTTGGAGTCAAGATTAAAGGTTTCATGAGTCATCTGGCATGGTATGGCAATGCCTCTGTTCTCAAGTCTGTGCAATCAAATCTCAAACTGATTCCTCCTTTTCATTTTTTTTCTTCTTTTTTTGGCAAGAGAGAAAATAACTTCAGTATTCTTTTTTAGGAGGGTTAAAAAAAAAAGAGGAACACCATTCTATTTCCTAAAATTGCATATAGAATTTCAAAGAGTGACCTCTTCCCAGATATAGAAAAACTTATGGTGGCAGTGGTAGCATGTCACCTTTTGAAGCATGAAAGATTTTCAGGTAGGTCCGTCCCTGCATTGTACTTTGGGGAAAATGGTAGGATTAGGAGTAAACCTCCTAAATAGAATATAAAAATATTTTCCTCTGAGAGTAATTAATGTTTCTGACCTTGAAGACTGTCACATGATGTGTCACTGTGGCAGTTAAGTGAATGACGAGAATACAGACTCCAGGTATATTGAGGTGTTCAAAGCCTTGCTTTTGTCACAGTTGGCTGATTAAGTCATTTTTAGAATTTGGACTTCTCAGGGGCAGGTTTTTACTTTTTGATTCAATATACTCTTTTCCCCACACTGTTCAGTTACATAATAAGATGAGTGCATGTACAAAGTCATGCCTTTTTAGTAGAAAATACAAAATCTTATCCTTCATTTTTGAAGTTATTTATTCATGATATTACTAATTCTGGACAAAGTAAAGAAGACATTGCCAGAGTATTTTCTAGGCAGAATAAAAATGTAGCTTGCTCTTATGTGAGTAGTTTGTTATTAAATATAGCTTTGGTCTCCCCGCCCCCATGAACTCTGTTAGTTTGTTTACAATCTACCACCCTCTCTTTAAATGTTAGACTCCAAATGACTGTGTATTCTGCAGTTATATTTTTCAGATTTTTCTGGTTTAGTATCCTGGCCTGAAATTCTGTGCCTCTCCCTGCTTTGACCCATTCGGCTTTGACCTAGGCTTCCAGGATGAGATGTGCTTTACTTTGGCTCAACTGAGAGCACCTGATTAGGCGGCCTTCTGCAATGCACTCCCTACACATACCGCCTAGCCTGGGCACATGAGGCTGGCTGCCCTCCAGAACCTCATCCTGGAAGCAGCTGTCCTCACAGGGAAAGATGAATTCTGTAAATAATTTCAAGGAGTTGGACTTAATGTCACAAAGAGGTCAAAGCCTCAATCACATTTAAAGTGGGATATGATGGCATCTTGAAAAATACATAACTTATCAGGTAGTCCTGTGTATGTAAGAGAATAGAGATCTTGGATATGAGCAGATGTGTTTTGGAAATTCTGCTCCACTGTATTTTTAGCTGTGTAATACACATACTAACCTTAAAGTTCCAAGCATGTTGCCTGGCACATCAAGTAGGTTCTTAATAAATGTTAGTCCTCCTTGAAACTCTATTAAATATTTACCATATGCAAGACTGAGATGGATCACCGGAGTAGATGATGGTGTCAAAACATTATCAGGGGAATGCTCAGGGTGCTTTCCCTTCCACAGGGACAGTACTGGGTAATTCTAACCTGAAGTATCTACCATAATGTGAAAAATGCTGTATTACGAATCTAGGAAAATGGGAATTTAGAGAAATGATAGAATGCTGTTAGTGGGAGGATAAGAAGTAGCAATTGAAATAAAATATGAAGAAATTCTTTTATTTTCTTGCACACTAGTCACTGTAATTTGGACTTCTCAGGGATAGATATAAATACAGAATATATATAATTATATATATTAATAATAATAAATAATAATATATTAATATATTATCTAGATATAAATACAGAATATATATATTAATTTTTATTTTTAGTGCTGGGAATTTGGGTGTTCATCTAATGGATGAGAAATAAGGTGAACAAATGAAATTAATATGGGACATATTTTGAGAATTGCTAATCATTAAAATTGGCTAGAGTAGAGCACACGTTAAAGGAAAGGTAGGAAATAATCTGGAAGACAAGGCTAGGACATAAATGAGACATGCTCTAAAGAGGAGGGGGATCCTATCTATGGGTCAGAAATCTTCCACTCCTTTCTAACTCTGTTGACAAGGGATGGCAAAGCCTCAATTTGCTCATTTGTAAAATGAAAGGATCAGGCATGTCTTTTAAAATATAAAATTATTTGTCTATAAATTTGGTTGTTATAAAATGACAAATATTTTTCATGGAACAGTTTTTTTTTAAAGGGAATATTTAAATCTTGAAAATGGAAGTAACTAGAGAATACTTGGGTATTTGTTTCAATGCTACTTTATTATTTTAAGGCAATACATTTAATAATACTACCTAGGATAGTCTGAAGGAAAGAAAGACAATAAAGTCAGGAGAATAATTTGAGTGTGGGCATAAAAGGTTACTGGTAATGTTTTAAAGAGAGAGAGGGAATCATCTGAGAGATATTACATCAAAATAAAAGGACTTGGGACATGATTGAATATCAAATCTGAAGCTAATGAGCATAGGAAGTATTAATCTTTTCTTTTGGGTATACATTTCTTTTATGTTAAACCATGTAAGTAACCTGATTTCATTCTGATTTACTAGAGAGAGAGCTGCAATGCATGTTGGGCTTCTAGTGACATAGATTGTCATATGTCACTCATCCAACAAACACTTTGAACCTAGTATGAGACGAGTACTGTTCTAGATATTGGGGATATACCAGAGAACAAGACAGGGTCCTTGCTCTCATAGAGCCTACATTCTATACTTGGTAATGATGGGGGAGAGAGACATCAAACAAATGAAGAAAACAGCAACTAGAAAAAAGTAAAAAAAAAAAAATGAAAATGAACCCAGTTGATGTGGTAAGCAGTACCTGCGACACTAGGGGAGGATACCCCAAGGAAGATGCACTTGGGTTTAGTGCTGAATGACTTAAAGAAACAGCAACACGGAGTAGTAGGACAAGGACATTGAAGAAGGAGAAAACAGGGCAGATGCCTAGGGTTGGGTTAGTATGCCTTGATGTGTTTCAGGAATTGAAAGAAGACAATTGTAAAGGGCAAAGTGAGCTAGGATGAGGTTGTAGTCAGAGAGTAGATGGGAATATATGTTAGTTCACAGCATAATGTTAACTCCCAAAACTCATTCACAATCTCTTCTTGGCTTTGCTGAAACTTAGCCGTCAGGTATATAACATCAGTCACAGCTGAAATAATAAAACCACATTCATTCTATTTTTTTTCTATCAATACTGGGAAAATGTAAACCTTTCATTTTTTTTAGAGGAGAAAAATGGAGCTTAAAATTGTTCAGCTACTTGCTCAAGGTCACACAGCTTGTACATGACACAGCCAGGATCCAAATCAGGTCTTATGATTCCAGGACCAGAGCAGTTTTCACTTCCCACGGTGTCACTTTCCTTTCTTATGTAATCCTAAAAGAATAACAGAGAGTTACTGACCTCTTATCAGAGAGTCTGCAGGAGAAGTGTCTGTAACTGGAGATAGATATTTTAGCCAAACGACAATGTTTACTTATGGAGGTAGGAAGTGACATGCACTTGCCTGCACTAAAGGCTAGGGTTAGGGAGATACAGGGGAGAACTTTATAGATAGAAAGATTATGTGTTTATTTTCTCTTGCCAAATACCCTGAAAGCAAAGACCCTTTGCTTTCCAAACAACATGATTTGATGACTTTCCAACAAATCACTTTTATGTATCTGGACAGAATGAACTATGCCATTAGATACCATAGCATTTTAAACACAAACATGAAATGTGATAAACATACAGACATTTACTCATGGGCACTATATTAACTATTTCTTCACTTTGCCCATCCATTAAGTTAACTGCCAGGCTAGGGCCATTAAAATCCAGCTTTCTTCCCTCAATTACAGCCACACATTAACCATATTTCAGAAAAGACTAGAAACATTCCTCCTCTCCTTCCTGTTCCCATCCTAAGGGCTCTCTGCTTTTTTGCAACTTTGAGTTCTGAATATGCTTATCTCAGAGCCAGTTGGGATCTCTGTTTATGATGCATCCCCAAACCCAGAATCCGTTTAAATAAGAGCCCTAGTTATAGAGACATATTGTACTTTTCTTTCAGAGAGCAGCATTTGCTGCTTGTTGGGGGCTTTCTGACTGATGCGCGCAGGGGCGGGGTGGGGGGGATGAAGGAGAGTTGGCTGGCGTTTGGGAGCAGATTTAGAGCCGCTTCTCATTGGAGGGGCTCGCTTTTCCTGAGCTGCCAGACACTGCAGGCTCAACTGAGGCGCGGAGGTGCAATTCAGGCTGGTGGAGCAGCGGGGGAAGGCAGGGACAGGCGGGGCTAACGCGGCTCTGCAGCTGATCACACGCACCAGCACACACACCTCATTCCCGCCGCCCCAGCTTGCGCCTCTCATCCTGCACCCTGGCTTGGACAGGGAGTAGGGTACCTAGGAAGGGAAAGGCAAAGGTTCAACAGTGAGGCAGAGGAAAAGCTGGAGCGGCGCTAGTGTTCAACCTGAAAGTCTGACCTGCAGCCCAAGGCTCCAACCTTGTCCAGCAGCACGGCTGTCGACTGGAAGGAGGGCACCGCGCCAAGGAACCCCAGAGTCTCGCTCCTGAGCCTGCATGGGGTCAACGCGCTAAGATCTTCTGGCGAGGACAGTGTGGTGCCCTCAGGGAAGTGAGGAGCTTAAGGGACCGGTATTGAAGCTCTTCAGGGTACATCAGGAAAAGTGGGAAGGAGAAAAACAGCCCCGAACACCGGGTGCGAGGCCAGGCTGCTGCTGCCTCTTGCAGTGCGGACTCCTGCCCTCTTCCGCTGGGTGAGTGCCCCGGCTTCCAGCACTCGCCTAAGAGCGTGGGTGGCTAGGGGGCCTTTGGGGGTCCACCCGAGGGCCCTGGTGGCGCCTGTGGAAACTCAGCCGCCCGCTCACGTCAGGCGACCAGGTCTCTGGAGTCCGGAGCGGGGGATTCTGAGCCACGAGGGCGTGGGTAGGGGGCGTTGCACCACTGCCCAGCAGAAATGTCTTTGGGCGGGATTTTGGCTAAAAGATAGGAGGCGGGAGCGCCAGGGGCAGCCGAGAGCCGTCCCGGCGGGCAAGAGATCAGGGAGCAGCGGGGAGGGGGGAGGGTCTGGTCCAAGCAGGTAACGCAGCTTTGGCAGCCTGGGGAGTTGGCAGGTGGGGTGGGACTTGCCTATCAAGTCCTTAATTTTAAGCAGTCAGTTTGGAGGCGCTGCAGGATAGTCAGGAGGACAGTGGAAAGGTAAGAGGTGGCCCGGGATGCCGCTGGTGGGGGAAGAAAAGAGGATCCTGGAAAAGCTTGGAGGCAAAATTGCACTTGGGTTTCTGGTCCTTGCATCCCTCCTGCCTTGAGTGCGGGAGAACACTTTTTGTTTTAATACTCAGCTTGGAAATAAAGCCTCCGTCCCAGGGGAGGAAGAGGATTCTGCAGGGGGCAGAGACCGCAGCTACCTACAGGGTGTGCCCCCCACACAAGGAGCGCCCGCTTTTGCCCCTTCCCCCACCCCCACCTTTTTATTGGTGCTGGTTTGCAGCGCTTGGCTCCTGCGCCTTCGCTTCGCGTTTGAATCTGGCTCGCCCCTCCATATTATGTCTGCAATCCGAAGGAAATTTGGGGACGATTACCAGGTAGTGACCACCTCGTCCAGCGGCTCAGGCTTGCAGCCCCACGGGCCGGGCCCGCAGCAGCAGCTTGTGCCCAAAAAGAAGCGACAGCGGTTCGTGGACAAGAACGGCCGGTGCAATGTACAGCACGGCAACCTGGGCAGCGAAACAAGCCGCTACCTCTCGGACCTCTTCACCACGCTGGTGGACCTCAAGTGGCGCTGGAACCTCTTCATCTTCATCCTCACCTACACTGTGGCCTGGCTCTTCATGGCGTCCATGTGGTGGGTAATCGCTTACACTCGGGGCGACCTGAACAAAGCCCACGTTGGCAACTATACGCCTTGCGTGGCCAATGTCTACAACTTCCCCTCTGCCTTCCTCTTCTTCATTGAGACCGAAGCCACCATCGGCTATGGCTACCGATACATCACCGACAAGTGCCCCGAGGGCATCATCCTCTTCCTCTTTCAATCCATCCTGGGCTCCATCGTGGATGCCTTCCTCATCGGATGCATGTTCATCAAGATGTCCCAACCCAAGAAGCGCGCCGAGACCCTCATGTTTAGCGAACACGCGGTGATCTCCATGAGGGACGGAAAACTCACGCTCATGTTCCGGGTGGGCAACCTGCGCAACAGCCACATGGTCTCCGCGCAGATCCGCTGTAAGCTGCTCAAAGTAAGTTCTCCCCTCCCCTTCCCCACCAAGCGATCGCCATCCCACTAGCAGAGAGATTAACTCACCTGAGAAACACCTTCCCCTATTAAACTTGTCACCTCTGGTAAACTTCTTGGGGGTGGGGGTGGGGGCGGGAGAGAGGAGGGAATTGGGTGAAGAGCACAGTTGTCATTTTTTTTTTCCTTTTCCTACTCACTCTTTTGCTCTTATTTATATCCATCATTTTGAGTGTGCTTGCATCACTTTCTGAACTAGTAACACTTAAGGAGTGGTGTGAGCTCCTGGAACCTTGAGGGAAATCAGTACCTTCTTCTTCTTCTCCTACTCCGATGCTCTGCCATTCTGAACGCTTTTGATTTGTTATCAACATATAACTCCATGAAACTTGAAGTACTAAAATGAAAAAGAACAGGTTTTATTTAGAAGAAATAGGTGCTGAACTTGCCTTAACCCCCCCTTCCCCCAATAATATTAGCAGTCGAATTATTCCTCTGGACCCAGTAAGTTTAACTCTACCTGTGTTCAACTTTTAAACACACAGATCCAGGAAGCAGTTAATAAAGTGGAAGAAACCCCACACCTGGTTCTTTTAAATTTTAACTTTTATTAAATATTTTCTTAAAGAAGTATCATATGGAAGTCTGAGTGCTTTTCCTGTAAAGCCTCTTGTTAATTTTATTCTTAATTGCCTGTTTCTATGAAGCCTTTGTCAATTATAGATTTCACTTGAAGCTTTTCAGCATCCATTAAAGAAGATTGCTTCCTACCATCAGTAGTGTAAATGCTAAAACAAATTGCACATAGAGTGGTTATTAAAGCAAGGTTCTTGTACTCGTTAGAGGGCACCACCAGGAACAGGAGTCCTCCCTAGTCACTTATCATACTGCTGCTGCAAGGGAAAGAGGGATTAAAGCCCAGCTCTCTCTCTAGGTGTCATTTACAATTCATATAATTTTTTGAGGGATTTTCCCAAGTAGTTTTCTAATGTTCATAAATTGAAAATGATGACCTCAAATAAATAGTTCAGAAATTGAAAAAGACTTATTATGATTACATAAAGAACCATAGCTAGATTCATAATTTGGTATTAATAAAATAGCAGTTTGATAATTATTTAATGAAGTTTTTGTCTTTGAAATTTTATTTATTTTTTTACTGTATGAGTATATATTGTTTTACATAAGCCTCAACTTATGTTGTGGTTAAATTAATCCAATGTACTTTATGAAAGTTTTGCTCTTATGTTATTTTCATTATTCACTTATAAGATCTTATTCTAATTATGCTTGACCAAGTTGCTCAGTAAGGTGTTTGAATTAAAGCAGTACACTTGCCCTGTCACTTCACATGTGTGTATTTACAATGCTATATACAGTAAATAAACTATATTTTGTATCTCAGAGTGTGAAATTATCAGCCTGGCTCTGATTTACATTTTCATTAAAATAACTATTAATAACTATTTTTAGTAGATTTCATTTTTATATCTAACCCTAATGAACTGTATATAACTTTTAAATTTAACTTTGCATATTGTTTTACTGACCAGTGTTTGAATTGGCTTGGTGTTTCAAATCAGGCAGTTGTGTTGCAGATACATTTATTTTTTCGATAATTATTGTATGTGCTCATTTCTATGCCTAGAACAAGATATGCATCTCTCTCCTCTTTATTTTTTTCTTTTTTAGGTTAAGCCTACTGTGCAGATAGAAACACTTTAATTTTTAGAATAGCGCCAAAGTCTCTATCAAGAAATCCATGTTTATGCATCACTTTGAGATTCTTATTGAAGTGTAATTTACCTTATTGTTCAGTGGAAATTGAAAACTAGACTAAATAGGTTATTTATTGTTATTGTTTAGTTTTTCAAATATATAAGATTATTTATTAAAATAGATATCTTTTCAAGGCAACATGTTTTAGCTGTTATAAAATTTTATTTTAACGAAGGAAGATAGAATTCATCTACATATTAGTTACACCCCCCTACACACACAAAGGTAAAATGAGTCTGAAGCCCCAGTCTCTACAGTGGGAGGTCACTGATAAGGATTGTTCTGCATAAGGTCATGAAACACATATACTGTAAGCAGAGTCTTGATTAAAAATAAAAGATGTATAGTGTTGACAAATTTGGAGCAAGGTGCTATATTAACACAAGGTGATAAAAACAACATTTAATTAAAATAATAGGAAAATACTCCTATGAAATCCTTTACTTTTGATTTGTTAGTAAGATGTCAGTGCTGGAAGTGAGATGATTGATATGTGATATTAAATTTATATTTAAACAAAATTATAGTGAAATTCTCTAGTTTTTATGAAGAAAAGGAGTTGATCAGTGGCAGTTCTTCATACCAGCCAGTTAGTGTAGCTTGTTTGAAGTTGTTTTTTCCAGTAGCCATGGTAATTAAAATGAATTCTTTTAGATCTTATAATTTCTTCAGACTTCATGCTTTAAATTAGGGAACTTATAACATTCAGCAAAATTGGAGTGGAGATTTGGCTTTAACAAATTGCTTTCATTTCTATTAGGGACCAAGTTGAAGTGACCTAAAACAGTCAGCTATGTAATAAGAGAAAACCTATACCAAATCTTTAAGTTGTAATATTTTGCTATCAGTTTTATACACTCTTCTTACTAAATAATATTATGTATAGTCAGTCTCCTGTTTTAAACCCCACAACATTTTAAGTGTATAAAGTTTATGTGTCTTTAACACAGAATATGTTTTTTAAGGAAAAAAAATACATTTTTAAAAAATTTTATTAGAACAAATACATTTAATGATAATAATTATAGCACACAAATATTCTTCCTATGACCTAATATCACATTTTAATGTCACTTTTTTCTTAATTGCTGAATAAAAGCTTCTTTATTAGTATAAATAGTAGAGTCTTGCTCAATAGTTATAAAGCACTTTTGGATTCTTAAGAAGACACTTGAAACATGGATATGACTTTCTAATACTTGCTAATTTTCCACACATAATTATTTTGGATTCCCTAATTTTGATGGAAATTTTTCCCTAACTTCTCTACTTCATTTTAAATTAGGATTTTAGCTTATATCAAGGTAAATTTTATATTAATTCTTTTCCTGACTTTCCAGCTTGAAAATATTGAAATTTCTTTCAGTAATCAAATATAGATCTTCCAACTCTATGCCTGGAGAGGCCAGTCCTCTTTCTACTCAAAAATAAAGTAGATTAAAAAAAGAACAGGATATAGTTTTGAATTTATTATTTAAAAATCTATAATTTATGTGTAAATAGAGTTATAGAAAGCTGTTTTAAGGTAAATATTTTTAATCTTTTCCTCCTCTCATGGCCATATTGTTATTTAACTTAATTATTAATTTATTTTAGTTGTGTTAACACAGAGAATAGGTATTAATTAGAATTGTGGCTATGCTAATTCAATGTATTCATGTAGAACATTAGGATGTCTAGGTTAAGGAGTTGAGGTCTCTATTACTCAAATGCTATAGCCTGTAATTTTGTATTGGGTTTAAAAGATTTAGAAATCTCACATATTTCTTTTTATTCATATAACACTAAAAGTTGACTGCCATGGATATACAACTTGTTATAGGAAGAATTGAGTAATCTTTAATGTACTGCTGAATAATGTACAAATATATTATCCAAAGGCTGTCATATATCTACATATATGTATGTATCTCATATGTGCTTGTATTTGCCCAAAACTTTTAAAAATAATGCAAACATACAGTCAACTGTGTTGCATCTATATTTTCAAACAGACAAGAATGAGTTTTTCTCATGGAAGCATAATCATATTTCTTTATATTTACATTCATTGCCAATAGTCATCTTTCTTTCTTAGGAGGTCAGCTGTGCACATTTTAAATTTCATTTTTTGAAAGGTAATAGAGTGCATTCCTTTCCTCTTCTAACATCACATGCATTATTTTTATTCATATTTTTTCTGGTATCCATTTATATGGATATTCACGGTTAGATGCTGTGTTGTTCTTCCCATATGAATGTGATCAAGTGCAGATGCAATAAAACATGTTTTCTGTAAAACCATTAAGTAATTTATTATCATCTTCATATATCCTGACTGTTTTTTTTCACTATAGGGATCTAACTCAGTACCTTGCTTTTGCTCAGCAAGTGCTCTACCACTGAACTACTTACCCAGACCTGTCCTATCTTAACATTTTATTAACCTTTTTAAAAAAAATTTTTTAGTTATAGATGGACACAATGCCTTTATTTTTATGTGGCGCTGAGGATGGAACCCAGTGCCTCACACGTGCCAGGCAAGTGCTCCACCACTGAGCTACAACCCCAGCCATTTTATTAACCTTTTAAACATAATTATTTCTAAACCAAAAGATTTTTGGATATTACTCTTGTATTTATTGACTTATCTTCACTCCATATCTTAAACTTAAATGTGATTATGTTTTTGACTCTGTGACCCTTGTAACTGATTTTTCACCAATTGACCTTAATTTTTAACTTAAATTTATTATTAATCTTGAGACAATTGTTTCCTTTAAAAAATTAAATTCTCATATATAATACACATATATAATATACCCTTCTTCTGAACATGGTCTAAGGTGTTAGCAAAAATACTCAAGAGGTCTAAGACTGAGTACTTCAGATTTCTCAGGGGTAAGATCTCCATTTTGTTGGCTAATTTTTAATGGATTCATTCTGTCTTTAAAAAAATAGCACAGTTCCTATTTAGCCTAGCTTTCTTTCTCTGACATAAGTACAATAATTCTCTAATAAGTATAGATCTTGGGTTCTTTCTAAAATCTATAATTATTATCCCTTTTTCCAATAGTAGTAATATATTTTGTTCTGCTTCTTTTATTTATTTATAATATGGTTCCTAAAATGTACAAGGTGGTACTCAGAGTATAAAGTATGAACAGAAATAAGGACTTAATGACCCACAAATAAACAGCAGTAGGTAAGAACAAATGATAAAGAGAAGTAAGAAAAGGCCTTTGA